GATGACTCTCTAGCGTTTCTTTCCAGACCAACTTCTTGAGCTCTCATGTAAGAAATTGCGACTTTAAAGCCTAAGTAAGTGTGATGGAATCGCGTCATATGTTTCCTTCGTGCGTGCGAGCACGGCTTCGTGGTCTTCCACTCAGCTGTCGTGGTTAGAGGCTTTATTCCTAGTTGCACACATATTCTAGCTTCACACCATTCGTAGTTTCTGTAGCCTGTTATTACCAAGGTGTGTGCAGCAGCAAGAGCGCCTGTACACGTGGAAGCCAGCGTGATCGCCTCCTTTAATATCTTGAGACGGTGCATAGGTCGATCCTCAAAGATTTAAGCTGTCCAAGATAGAATCGCATTGCTCCTTCATCATCCCATTGGAAAAACAAAATACTCAGAGGAGTTGGAGAGGAACATCACAAGTAAAACGATAAAAGCCACAGAAAGTTGTTTCAGAAGGATAAAATGTTCAAAGGTTACTTGAGAATAGAGTAGAGTCATAAACACATCACATACTTCACATGCTATATTGTTATTTCGCCTAGGTTGAAGTTTGACATAAGGCTGTCTTAAGCCAATGAGCTTGATTATTTTGGGCAAGTCAGTTAGCTGTGGAAAATCAGCAGATTACTTGCGCGTTCATGGGACGAGTACTGAATGGGGGTATTCTACAAGCATTGTGTGAACAACTCTCCGGTCTGCATAATTTCGATTCCTTTGATATCTTGATTAAGAAACGTGTCTGGGAGGATACATTCACAAAGAGTATTTCAGCGCTGAGCGAATTATCCTTGACTTCTTGAAAGATCCTTGAGACATAAAGTGTTGCGACAGAAAAAACCTTCTAGGCAGCATTACTGATATGAGGCACTACAATTGTGCGACTCCTATTTTCGGAAGTGTATTTTGTTTTGCTCTAGCAAATGTCGCAACTTTCTCTCATTATAGAGTTAAACTTTTATGAACGCACTGAAAAACTAACCTGGCTGGGCTGATGTGTGAGACTTTTTTGCCAACCGTTGTTATCACGCGATCACCAAAGGCCCAGAGTCCAGCACAGATTCCCGCTACTCCATAAAGGAGTACAAATATGGGTACCTGAATACTCATTATGACTTAAATAATAAGCGCGCTGCGCGCGTGTGCGCATCTGTGTAATATTGCTGTGCAATCGTTTGCCCTTGCAACGTTGACAGAAAGCAAGGTGATTTTCAAGAACGAAACAACTGTTCTAAAATGACTTCATACAGCAATGACTACATAAAATGACTACACATAAGTAATGTGTTGAAACCTCTTCAGGCGCCTTCCTCACGCGTGATACTTTTGACCACTTCCAAACGACTACGTATCTTTCGAACACTCTTGAAATCGGGTTCAGTCTTGAATTGGCACATCCTTTCGCAATCACGCTGAGAAGTGTTGTCGCTTCTACCTCACTCCTTCTCACGGAGTCCAAAGTAGCTCTATAGATAGAGAGGTCGAAACTCGGTAATCTGTCAACAAAAATTTTATCCAAGCGCTGATATATCGATGAATGCTAAGCATCAGTGTCTTCTCTGTACTGCGATGAAAGGCGATGCTCGCAAGCTCTGCTTGCGCAAAATATTCTTCAAACTCATTACTCCTTTTACCTAAGAGGAGTATATGACAGCAGGAAGGACAAAAGAATCGAAGTCTTCGGACAAGAGCGAAACTGTCTGCCTTTTTGCTTCCCGATGTTTCGAGAATCTCCCTCACTTTCATACCTTTCAATTCTGATTAATTCGACGTCCTGACATTGGAATTTCCAGGCGAGATGACGTCGTAGCGTCAAACCCCTCTTCTCCAGTGAATTGTGATGTTGTGCAGAAATCTTCTGTTGCAACTTTGCTGCGAAGGTTAAGAAGAATAATCATTGAACGGGAATGCTCTGGCTGTTCGCAGCCTCGATGACCAGTTCTGTCTCCACAGAGTCGAAGGCCTTCTTCAAGTCGATGAACGTGAGACAAAGCGGCATCTTGTACTCTCGTGAAACTTCAATGAGTCTTGTAACCGTGTGGATATGGTCGATCGTGCTGAACCCTCTTCGAAACCCTGCTTGCTCGCATGGCTGTCCTTCATCCCGTGGTTCTGCCAATCCTCCGCCGAGTGAGAAGTTTGTAGACTACCTCGTGCCACTCTTCGTTCCTGTGAAGCAACCAAATCTGCTAACTTTACGGGTTGGATACTTTGCATGCCGACAGGCAGAGTAAGAGTCGAACGAAGAACTGACAAATTTTTCGAAATTTCGGCCTGATCCCGTCGGAGCTGGATGCTGTGCGATCTTTCACCAACAAAATGGCGTGTTGAATCGGAAGGGGGAGCTGGAGAAAAACGTACCAATACTGCTCCAAGCCACGCGAAGGCGAGTGAGCATGGCTGCGCTGTAGCAAGGGTGTCATACTCACGTTGATGGCTTCTTTCGCCTTCGTGAAAGCTTGGGAAGTCGAGAATGAGTGCGACCTAACCTCTGAAGACAATATCAGATTTTGCTCGAGGAAGAAAGACATCTTGTGAGAGGTTGCAAACCACAAACACTCGTTAGATTCACCTTAGCAACAAACCCTGAAGCGGTTGTGTCGAACAAGCTTCTGTCGGTGAGATAGAGTGGCCAGCGTGTACCACAGTTGCGCCGTGTCGCGGCTCGAAAGTGCGCGACAATGGCGCTAGGCTTTACAAAGTGAGCTAGTGACGGCCAATGTGAGCTAATGGACGAGATACCTCGCGCACACCCTATGACAAGCAACGTGGATTACGACGTAGCGGCTAATTCAACGCCATGGTGCTATGGAGCAGGCAAGTTCAACAACACGCCTCTCCTTCACTTCGAGGGGGAGAGAGGGAGTCCTCGGTCGAGGGCCCACTGGCTTTTTTGCTTATTTATTCTTCATTTTCTGTCAACTCGGCATGCTCAAATTCATTAACGACGGTTGGTACCCCACAAATTCGGTACGGGGTTGTTGCGTCAAGGTTCATCATTGACCATGCTCTGAGTAAAGCGACAAGGTTGAGACGGATTCAACTTGAAAGATCAAAAGGTCTTGATTTTGGCTTCTGCTTCAGCCAATACTGTTGCTCCTCCCTCTTTGATGTCTTCCCTTATCGACCCTCTACATAGTTTTGTAAGCTCGATTAGGAGTTAGTAGATGCCGCAGTTCATGCGGTGCTCAACTAGCCAATCAAATTAGTCCCCAATGTTTCTGATGAGTAAACCACTCATAAACAGGCGGAAGAAAACATGTGTACCGCTAAAAAAATAAGCGGGGCTTCAGTTTTTGATTTTTGCGATTTGTCTTAGTGCACTGAGAAAGGGAGTCTGGAGACTCGTAATCGGCAGATAGTATCGGACTGGGAGACACTCGAAAAAACCAATTTGAATTGTGCTCAGGGATCACTTGGCGCTAAAAACTTCTTTAACACCTTCATTCAGGAGCACTGTGATCTCATAAAAATTTTTTGGGGTCGCACATTGATGGCACGCGAGTGAGGGACGACATGAGCAGCTGGGACAGAAAAGTTGTTCGTTGTAATTGTTCATGGAAGGGGATGAAAGTTTCTAATTTGTTTAATTGTTTCAATTAGATCACATCTCATTCAAATATCCAAGAGAATATGGGGGGGTATCCAAGAGAATGTGGAAAAAGAAAATTGTTTAGCCACCACTCACACTTCAATTGAGGCTAGTCACAGACGCGTCTACAAAAGTTGTCCTCGTGAGATCAGTCGTATGTTTCTGATAAAAGCTCAATTGAAAGGACAGGCACAAGAATGTCCATTGAGCTGATCTCTCAATATTAGAGTTCCGGAATAGGGGGGGGGGATTCAATGTGCGCTCTCATTTAACGCACGCACGCGAGCTACGAGTTTCACATTTGTGTATGATTATCATAACGGAAGTGTTCTCCGGAAAAAAAGGTCTCCGCCTTGATATGAGAAAGCTACGAAAAATCTGTTTACCCTATTATGGATCCTTACCCTCCCGATTTATTGTTTGAGCAAAGGAACACACAACAGAATTAAATTAAGCGTTGAGTTTTTTTCGATTAAATACTAATCTACACACATATTCAAATTGATATTCACTTTCGTGAAAGTTGATTCCTTTAAGGTGTCGTTTTCTGAGGTAATGAAGGGCGGAGCTTTTGCCGTGGAAGATTCTTTGAACGTGATACGTGACGCGTGACCAAGCGTTCTCGAAGTGCTATGTGAAGATTCGATGTGAGAGCGCAAAGACGGAAGAAGAACGGTGGGAGTTAGTGGGTGATCAAACGTCATATTTACCTGCCCAAGAGGAGCGGGTACATAGAATCAGGCGTCGAATAGCGGAGCACAGATGTTGGACTTTCTCCGTATTTTCCGTGAGATCAGCAGCCCATCAACCGTTAGCCAAGTTGTGTCGAAGAATTGAGGATGTTCCAGAAAACATGTGTTTTGGACGCCCCTACATATTTACCTACGAATGTACAAGTGCAGAATCGAATTTGGTGTCTATGGCAATGAACCAATTAACGTCATTCAAGAGTATCGAATTGCATGCTGCCTACAGAGAGCTTCGAGTGGGGTACGCTGAGCCCACAGTCGCAGATGTCCACTTTGGATGAATGCAATGAACAACTGCCCAATGGATTGTGAGAAGTCACGTAGGTTCACGTAGATGGCTACTATGGCGAATGATTTTTGAGATGTGGATTACTATGGCAAAGATTCATGAGGTGTGCTTCCTATTCGGTACTGTGCGGGAAACACTCTCGTCGTTGTGGAGTATATTGCTTGTTTTCTATCGATCACATGAACAATCGTATAGCAATACACAACTGCAAGAACGACATCATCACCTATGACAATGCCTCGCCCCACGTAGATCATACTGATGAGGGTATTTCAACCAGAAGAACCTTTGTACCTCTACTAGCCGCGCGACCTCTGCTGTTTTGGCCAATAAAGGGCACGAGTCGTTGGCGAGCGCTACGACAATTGGTCGACCATCAGTGCTGTCATCAAGAACATATTGGTCATATTTGTTGACAAAAGAAGTAGCTTGGTGCACAAAGTGTCTTGGAAGCTGGGACCTGATCGTCACAACGACATTATCTACTTGACGGAACACTATAGTTGAAAAAATCTTAGACGCTGAGACCGTGTCGCCATAACGACATGGTCTACTTCACTCAACACTATAACTAGAAAAAAAAACTATTAAATTTCTATCTTGTGTGCTGATTTTATTTAAATAGAACCCTCCACATGTTAGAACTGCATGACTTACGATTAGTATCAACTGATTGAAGCATTTTTTACGGATTGCACTATTACAACCCCAGTGGGGGCGAAGTGGGTCAAAAACTTTTTTCGCTGAAACTTACTATGGGGGTTATAGAGGATCCTAATCACGAAATCAATCATTGTTAGCGCCGTTTGGCGCCAGGTGGCGCCAGGATTGATTCTCACCAAATGCACTGTAAACTAGGAATTATTCGGGACCGTGATTACGAATGTGACACTTATTTTATATTGGCGGTATTCGGCGCCGGGCCTACCTGCACGTCTGCGTCTTCTCACTAACTAATTCGCGTACAGGACTAAGCCTTCGGAGAAGGGAGGACTTCGAAGTGAGTAGGTCACTCACCCTGTGATCCCATACACTTTAACTTCTGCCACACCGTGCGTGATTACCCGCTCCGGAGTACCACCTCGCTAATCGTAAGATTAGTCTTAGGCGCTATAAGTGAGAGCCCAGGAATGCAGAAAATAAGCGTTAAACAGCGCGAACCCCGTAAACGAATGTATTCGTAATCAGGACTCTAAATAACTCCTATGCACAAGCTTACAGCGTATTTGGTGAAAGCCTTGGTGTAAGCTCTAAAAATGGTATCAATTTGTGATCAGAGCCTCGATAACCTCTATAGGAGAAGTTTCAGCGAAAAATTGATCCAGCTCACCATCACTGGGGTTGTGATAGTGCAATATTGCCTGTATACATATGCTTCCTCGCTTCTCCCTCGATACTCACCTCTTCTTCTTGAAGTGCATTCCCTTTTGAATAAATAGAGAGCAGTGCAGCAATTGGTGCTACAGAGTTGCTGAAAATA